TTTCCCCAGCCCCTCCCACCTCCCGCGGCCCCCCGGGTGGGGCTGGCTCACCCTCCGCCTCGGGAAGGCCCAGCCACTCCTCACCGAGGACCCCACTAATCGGGACAGCCTGCTCCCCCGCCAGGCCTCCGCTGCTCCCCGGGCTCCACCCCCGGCACTCCTCTGCTTTGACACCGCCTACAGAGCCTTTCCCCCTCCCGGCCCTCCTCCAGCCAAAGCCCCCCTTTTCAGAAAGGCGGCCTCAATGTCCGGAAGTGGTGGCTCCAGCCTCCCCTAGGGGTCAACCCCACAGTCTCCTGGGAAGGACCTCTTTTCAGCGACTAGACTGGGGGTGGGGAGGTGGGACCTAGGGGCCATTGGTCTACTCAGGTGTGAGGGAGCAGGTATGACCTGCCCCAAGGTCAGCTCCATCCTGGACACCCCTGTGGGAGGCAGTGAGCAGGTGATGGAGGTTGCTCCCCTGCACCTCTAAAGTGCAGATTCTCTTCTCCCCCTAAATTTGGGTGGGGTCTTAGTGAGAACCATAGAGTGTGGGCTGCCTGCCTGGGCAAGTATTTCCTAGTGGGAAGTTGGAGGAGGGGCTTTAAAGAAGTTTTCACCTGTCCCTTGGCCCTCAATCTAGTGCTCAGGACCCCTCACCATCAGGAATTCCTTATTGCCATCTAACCTCAATCTTGCCTACTGCAGTTTCGGCCAACTCCCTTCCCTCCTGGGTTCAGTGGAGGTGGAGAATGGCTGGTTATCATCTCTCACTGGCCCTTTGGAGATTCAGGGACACAGTTCTGGCCAGGTCACCCTCCCTGTTCTCCTGGCTGTGACCATCATCTCCCCTAGTCATCAGAGAGAGCAGAAACAGACAGCTAGCCCCTGGACTCAAGGCAGAAAGGCCCTTTTAACTTCCAGATTGTATGCTTGTGCGATGGGTCCAGCCCAAATCCTCTCCTCCCCCAGCTCACCCTTCAGCTTGTCCCCTCTTGTCCTAACCCCAAACCATGCAGCTGAGCTGTCCCTGCAGAGATGTGAGGACTGTGCTGCTCCATGAATACATATGGGCTTCCCCCTGGGCCTGGTTCCTGCATAGCTCTCATCCCAGCTCATCACGAGCCTCAGCTGCCCATGTCTGGGCCAAGCAGTGCACTGGCTGCAGAAGGGACATCCAACCCTGCCTATCTGGAACAGGTCCCCAGCAGGCTCCTCCATGCTTGGAACCCACAGCCCCTGTCCCCTGGCCTGCCCCTCTATTCTTCACTGGGTCATGGAGAACAAGGCAAGAGAACCAGCGGAAGAGGAAGAAAGGCCCCAGCATGCCCCAGTGGTCTGGCAGCACCCGGCCACCATTGCTTAGAAGGATGCTCATGAGGAAGTTGGACCAGGGAGCAGCCTGGTGGTGCCAGCTGAAGCCCCTCATGGAGAGTCAGCAGGCTTGGGCAGCTGCTTACATGCCAAGGTGGTGGCTTCTCTGCAGACCAGCCTAGAGGAGGACTCCAGGGTGGACACCCCCGAGGTCCACCCCATGCTGACGCAGAAGCTCCCAGAACACTCAGGAAACCTCTCTGGACAGAGCCCTCTTTGTCAACCCGAGACCCTCCCAAGGCCTCTACTGCCCTCTGGGTCCAGCAGAGGGGGTGGAGGAGGGGCCGAGCCCTCCCACCTAGAGCTTCTCTGAATGACAATCAGCTCCTGCCAGGTGGGGACCAGGGCATGACCCCTGGTGCCCAGGTCCTGGGCCTGCTCCTTGCCACCAACCGAACTGTGAATGTAGGGCCCCCAGACTCACCCCTGCCCCAGGACCAACAACACCCTGGTTTGGTGTTGAGAGGAAAGGGGGGTGACCTGAGAGAGCCCCAGGCCCATCCCACTCCCCAGTTTCACCCAGCACTGAAGCTGGGCAGAGCTGCAAAACCCTGTCTGTCCTTGGGAAACCAGACCTCCCTAGGGCTCCCAACTGACCTCAGGCCTCTGCGTCATTGAATGTCACCAAGGTTGGGGGAAGAGGAGCAGGCGCGAGTGTGGGAGGAGGCTAGAGGACTCTGCTTCTCTCCCCAGGAAGGATCTAGGGCAGAGGAAACCATATCTCCCAGTGCCCCACCCCCAGCTGCAGCCTCTTCCTCCTTGAGCACCCATCCCCTCCACCAAGCCCTGCGGGTCCTGAGCCCCTTCTCTGTAAGAGTGTCACACCACCACCACCACTGCGCTCCTCCAGCACTTCATCATGACAGCCTGTGCCACTGGCCCAGATGCCGGGCTGCTCACCCCAGAACATGCCTTCCCACCCCAGCCTCACTGTGCACCAAGAGGGACTGTGGAGAGGGACTGTGCCCCAGGTACGTGGGCTCCCCCCTTCCCAGCTCCTCACAGGGGCCTGGCTTGCTCAGTCTTCTCAGCCCTGGGGACCGGCCCTGGTGGGCGGGGGTGGGGGGCAGGGAGTTGCCCTCCCCCTCCCCAAGGAAGCCACTAAAGAATGTTTACATGCCAAACAGAATGTAACACCCTCCCCCACCCCGTCCCTGTCACTGCATGGCCTCTGCCCACCCCGCACTGTCCACCCCTACCCCAGCACCCTGGAAGCCGCTGTCATGATTAGATCGGGTCTCAGAAGGGAAGTAGCCATCACACCATTAAAAAGCCTGTGGACCTTTCTGCTGGCCTGGACTCTTCTTCTTTTGGGGGAGAGGGCAGAGCCCGGGCCCTGGGCTGGGAGTGGGCAGGAGAGGACAGCACAGGTTGGTGCGCAAGTGCCCAGGGACCGTTGTGAGGCAGACTGTCCCACAGGCGAGGAAATGGAAGCCCTGGAGGATGCAGGTAACTTGCTCAGGGTCACACTGGTGGGAGGAGGCTTCCTGCAGTCTCTGATGGCAAAGCTGTGCCCTTTCAGCTCCCTTGGCTTTCTCTCCCAAGGGCCAGAGACTCTAAGTTTAGCTTTCTGCAGAGAGGGAGGGAGGAAGAATTGTCATTGCCCAGAAGTTAACAGACAAAAGTGAGCGTGTTTGGAAAACTGAAGTACAACAGCTCACAGACAAGGAAGAACTTGGTCACTATTCTAGTAAAATCTATAAAAATCACAAATGAACACAGCCTGTGGCCCAGCACTTCTAGAAAGGTATCTTCTGTATACACTTATAAATTCACAAGATTGCATGTCTAAAATCATTCATTGCGGCATTCTTTGTACAGCTCCACAAAGCCTCATCTGTGATTCTGAAGCCGAAAAAGTTCTGAAAACTGGGAGTTTTTCCATTAGATTGGTACAAGCTTGTTTGGTACCAAACCCTGACAAGACTATTTGTGGTCTTTATTTATTTATTGAAATATATCTTTATTGATTTCAGAGAGAGGAAGGGAGAGGGAGAGAGAGATAGAAATGTCAATAATGAGAAAGTAGTCATTGATCGGCTGCCTCCTGCGCGCCCCCAACTGGGGATGGAGCCCGCAACCCGGGCATGTGCCCTGGCCTGGAATCAAACCGCGATCTCCTGGATCCTAGATCAATGCTCAACTGCTGAGCCACGCCTGGCAGGGCAATTTGCAGTCTTTATTAATTCCACTTGTCATACATGTTTGCAGTAGAAATGTTAATGTGTTTGATTATGGAATATGCACAGAATTGTATTACATATGTGTGTGTGTGTGTGTGTGTGTGTGTGTGAAATCTGAATTCTAAAAGAAATCTGATCCCAACGGTTGGTATGAGAGACTGTGGACCTGTAAAAGCAGAAGTTCAGATGTAACTAAAAGTCTGTTTGTTGGACTGATTAATAGAATGTGGCCACCCATACAATGGGGACCCTATTATGGGGTACTGTGATGCTCTACAGTGAAGCAGGTGGCTCTTTGTAGGCACCTGTGGACTGGTCTCTAAGACTAAGTCAAAGAACTGTGTGTATAATGTGTACCTATTTGGACAAGTTAGAGGTCTCAAGTTGCTTCTGGGAGGAAAGCTGGGGGAAGGAGGCTCTCGTGCAGTATATCCGCTGTACCTTTTGCACTTTGGACCCTAGGTTCACTAAGTGTGAATCTTTCACCCAGGTAGTACCATAAACAATTTCTGTCCCAGGGCCCTACCTGGGGATCAGAGGTAAGAGAGCCCAGGCTCCAAAGTCCTGCTCTCCCTCTGAGCACCTCTGCCATCCCAGAACCTGTGTAACCATCTTCGGTCCCCTTGGTGGCCTCCTGGAACCCCTGTTCTCCAGCATGGGTGCCAGGGGGCGCCAGGGCCTGACTCGCAGCCTTCAGTGGGGCGTTAGTGTGCTTCCATCGCCCTCCTTGTTTGAAAGTGTCACAAGCAGGTCATGTTTTCAGTAAAAAGGCAAAAGCTAAAAGCATATAAACTAAAATATGAGAGCCCCCATCTATGAATATGACTATGTAGAGGTAGTGTACTCAGAGCTGCATAACCATTGCCACAGTAAGAATGGGGGGGGGACACATTTCCAACACCCCAACGAGAAACTCCACGCCTATTAGTTTGCAGCCACTCCCATTTCCCCTTAACCCCTCCAGTCCTCAGCAACCATGAATCTACTACTTTCTGTCTCTATATAGATTTTTTTATTTTGGACATTTCATATCATTAGAATCACGCAGTACGTGGCTCTTTGTGACTGCCTCCTTTCATTTAGTGTTTCGAGTTCACCCGCGCTGTAGCCCGTATCAGCACCGCATTCCTTTTTATGGCTGAATAATATTCTGCTGTATGGATCGGCGGCATTTTGCTTGTCCATTCATCGTGGACTGTTTTTTTCCTACTCGTTGGCTATTATGAATAATGCTGCTATGAACATTTGTTTACAGGTGTTTGTGTGGACATACATTTTCATTTCTCTTGGATATATAGCCTGTGGAAATATCCAAAATAGAATTGCTGGGTCATACGGTAATTTTTTAATACTTTGAGGAATTACCAACCTTTTCCACAGTGGCTACGCCATTTTACATTCTCACCAGTAATGTATGAGGATCCTTATGTTCTTTTAAATGGCTGCTTAATAGTCCATGGCATGAATGTTCCATAATCTATTTACCCAGCTCCATGTTGACCTCCCATTAGATTTTTTCCCAACTTTGCACTATTTCAAATAGTGCCAAAATTAATAACCTTCCTTTGATCTTTGCTTACTTCTCTATGTCTAATCCTAGGGGAAATCCCCAGAATAATAAAATAGATGAAACTGGTATCTTTTTCTATTTTTAATTTCTTTTATTATTATTGAGAATAAATGAGTGAAAGAATTCTATGGATCATTCATTATTTTGCATTCCTTTAATCATTCATTCATTCCACTAATTCTGCAGGCCACTGCTGAGCCCCACATGTACCAGAGGCTGCCAGACGTGGGGGACTGTCGAGCATTGAGACAGTGTCCAGTGAGCTGTGAAGGAGGTGGTTGAAAATTAACTTTCATGTGCTATGTACACTGATACACGAGGCTCAGGCAGACTTCCAGCCCAGACTGGGAGCTTCAAAGAAGGCCTTCGGATCGATGTGACTCTTAGACTGAATTTTGAAAGACAAACAAGAGTTAGCCAGATAAAGAAGAGAGGTCATTCTCGCAGAGGGAGCAGCATGGGCATGGAAGGTGAGAAGGTGTGAGAACTGCTTGTGGTTCAGTGTGGTGGTCACAGGTGTGAATCAGGGAACAGAGAGAGGAGTGAAGGGGGCAGGACAAGGCCTGGAGCAGGGGTGGGCTATGCCCAGGAGGATGGCTTTAGAACTAAGGTTGCAGAGAACCTTGCCCATCCCCTCTCCCAGGAGCCTGACACCTGTTGGGCACACTCACTTCCCAAAGGCCAGTCAGGGCCTACCTGATGCTCCACACATTAGGACCTGCCTAGCCCCTGGCCAACCTCTTCCCCACTCCCCCAGAAAGATATTTCTCTTCTGTGGCTAAGAGAGCTCGGAGGACAGGGGCACAGAGAAATAAGTGGCTTGAGTAAGGTTGCTCAGTCAGGGGCTACAAGACCAGGGGCATTGGAGGGGCCTTTGCTAGTAGGGAAGAAAGGCCCCTTGGGGGCCTTGGAGAAAAGAGACCAAGGTGAGAGTGTGGAGGGTGTCATGTCTCTGATCATCAGACACTGGGGCCTGTGGAGATTTTTCCATTGGCTACTCAGGCATCAAGACCAGGACAAGAGCTGAGATTAACAATATTGAAGGACGGTCAGAATGACTTTCTAGCCCTCAGCAGATGCAGGAGCCTGATCGTTGCCTATCGTGATGAGGTGATGGGGCTGGAGAGTCAGCATGGTCATGGGAACTTGGCTCTAGGTCAAGGAAATACAATACAAGCTCATTTTCATCAGCTCCAGGTGGCATCTTCTTCATTCCTTCTTATCCCATGTAGTATGAAACCCAAAGTGGTGTAACATCACCCATTGTTACCACCATCAATTTTTATCACAATCATCACTATCTCCCTTACTCGCCTCCAGCACCATCATCACCCAAATCGCAGATACTCTTCTTCCAAACTAGGCTCCGTCACCATCATCACCATCACCATCACCATCACCATCACCACTAGGCTCTGATGACATAATGATTAACAAGGTCCTTGCCGTCAGGGAGCTTTCACATCTTCACCATCACCACCACCTTCACCACCACCTTCACGACTACAACCGCCACCACCATCAGCATCATCTACATAATCCTCGTCATCACTGCCCTCGTAACCGCATCACTACTGCCACTATCCCAGCCCCAGCCCTCATCCTTACTTCAGTCACCCCATCATTTCTACCATCAGGACTCCCACCTCCATCACCACTACACCATCCCATCGTCACACGCACAACTACAAGGATCCCGTCATTACCGCCCTCATCAATGTAGGAAATGATTACGTGCGGTATTGCTCAGTGAAACCCCAACTAAGTGGGGAGGTTAGCTGAGGTAACTCAATGCAGAGAGGGGTAAAAAAGTTTGCAGTCCTAAAGTGTAAGAAGTCCCTATTGCAAGTAATCCCAAATAGGAAACTGTTTATCTTAGGAATTTATTCTTCCCCAAATCCTCCAACAGTGCTAGTAGTAATTTCAACTAAGGAGTTGTTCTTTTTCCAGTGCACAAGGCTCCTTCCCGTCTAGTCTGGTATAAATGAAGGTCTCCTCTACTGTGGCCTCCGAGCTCAGGTTTGGATTTCCAGGTTGGAGGATGGGGATAGTTAAAAAGTTAATCAAAACCAGTTCCTGACTGGTGATTCAGAGTTGATTTGTCTTCTGATTCGGCTCTTGGCATTTCATATCTTGCCTGTCCAGCTCCATCATCTGCCTCTACCCATCACAGTCATTGTCACCACCATTCCTTGATGACATCAGAGAGGAGAGCTGCCGTAAGGGCCAAAGGCAGGGAATAAGATGAAGCCACGCCTGGCCGGTGTTGCTCAGTGACTACAACCACCACCACCATGCACCAACCCACACACCAAGAGGTCACTGGTTCGATTCCGGGTCAGGGCATGTGCCCAGGTTGCGGGCTCGATCCCCAGTAGGGGGTGTGCAGGAGGCAGCTGATTGATGTCTCTCTCTCATCGATGTTTCTATTTCTCCCTTTCTCTCTCTCTAAAAAAATCAATAAAAACATTTTATTGATGAAGCCAGGGGTACAGTTAATGTCAAATTACTCTCTGTAGAAAGTGGCTGCAGATTTAGATCTGAGTTTCCTAGGCGACAATGCAAAGAAGGAGATGTGGCCACTATATGACTACCAGCTCTTTTTCAGGTTAAGGCAGGAGAGAAATCCCTGTTGTGAAAACAAAGGCATCACAGCCAATGCCCAGGGTTGGCCTCATTGGCTGTCATCTCAGGCTATGGAAAAACCTCAGAGTCTTCCCCTGTGGAGCCACTGGATGAGCCATGGAGATGAGATGGCTGCAAAACTTACCTCTTAGGAGCTGCAAAGGGTTATGGTGTTTTATATTTTAATATAAATAATATGAATATATAGTATTAAATGAGGGAGGAACCAACAGCGTGGGGATCACATGTGAGGGATAACAAACGGGACGGTTGTTGCCTCACCCTTGAGCTGGTCTCCAAGATGCCTTGGGCATCCACCAGGTGAATAGGAGGGAGGCCAGTGAGGTGCCAACAGGCTGGTGTGTCTGGGGAACTGGAGGGAAGGGGGCCTAGTTGGGAGGGGCCAGAGGCAGGGTAGAGAGGAGCCAGTCTTGGGGATCATATGGGCCAAGTTAAGGAGTTGGACTTCCACCCTCCAGCAGTGAGAGCTGGTTTTAAACAGAGACACTCCCCTGTCACATTTGTTCTAAAATGTTCATTGTGGCAGGTGTGTGGAGAGTGGGTTGAAAGGGGTGAGACTGGAGGCAGGAAGGTTTATGTAACTTGTTTGAACCCTCCTGGTAGACTGCATGCTCAGTGAGGGCAGGGGTTGTGTCTGAGACATCTCTGTATCCATAGAAAGCTTAGGTTGCACTAGAAATTCAACAAATATCTCTTACTATTATTGCCTTCTCTCACCACCTCCAAATCCCTGCCCTCAGTCCCATGCCTATTACACCTCCATGAACACACACCATGTCACTGATTTAACTCTTTTCCCAGAGCTCTTTGAGGGAGCCCAGCCTAGTGCAGACTGGAACATCTCGAGCTCAGTAGCTGGGGCCAAAGACCTGGGCTAGAGTCAGGGGTCCTGGTTCCCTTTTTATTTCTGCTGTTGAGTCACTATGTGACCCCAGCAAACCACACCCCATTTCTTTATCTGTTCAAAGTGGGGACTAGATTAAATTAGTCATTTTCAAACTTTTTAAAAAGCTTGGGCCCTTAGACACCTATTTGCTTAGAAATCTGGAGCCCTGGGAACACAATTTGACAACCTCCCAGCTCTGCTGATGTGGTGTTTGGAGAATCAGATCAAAAACACTTGACATCGCTGGTTTCTGCTGTGCTTTTGTGGCAGGGCTGTGAGAGAATTGAATGGGGAAGACAGACACATCCTAAATCTTAGGCATTGCAGATACCTCTGGCAGGACCTTGGCAAACCCTCTCCTTCCCTACCCACCCCCTCAGGGGTATCTAGGAAGCTCCTGAAAATAGGGGTGGGTGGGAACAGGCAGGAGGGACTGTGTGTATGGGAAGAGCCCCTGAGTGAAGACGTGGGAAGGTGATAGGTCTGAGATCCCCAGATTGGCCAGGCTGCTCAGGGTGGTTCCAGGTGTTTCTCAGGCCAGGGCATAAGGTCCAGGTGGGGACATAAATCTGACAGGGTACAGAGAGCCCTCATGGCTCAGCAGTAAGAACCCTTCACCTGGTTTTGAATCCTGGGCTGCTGGCCAGGCTGTGGCTGCAAATAGGCAAGGCTCACCTAGGGTTTCATAGGACAAAGGGCACCCAAGGAGAGCTGGCATCATGCCCTGGAGACTCCTCCTTCTAGGGATCCTTGGAGCTCTGCTGATCAAGGGATTATGGGCTCATCTCCTACACACCCTCCTACCCATCATAGGGGCCTGAGGATACCCCATTTTGTCCCTGAGCACCAATGTGTAAGTCCCAGAGCCATGGAGTCCATGACCTCTGAATGGCTGGCAGCCCCTCCTTCACAGGCAGTGTAGCCAGGGTGGCCAGGAAAGGTCCAGTCTTGGGTCAGCCCCTGAGGGCTGGATTGTGGCTGCAGGCTCTCCGCCCATCAATCTATCTGCTCCCGCCTCTAGAGTCCAAGGGTCCACTGCGCTGAGTACTACAGAGGGAGCCCACACTGGGGACAGTTATTGGTGGGTGGCATGGGATTCGAGGAGCTGCTAGACCAGGTGGGTGGTTTTGGGCCCTTCCAACTGCGGAATGTGGCCCTGCTGTCTCTGCCCCGAATTCTGCTGCCCATGAACTTCCTCCTGCCCATCTTCCTGGCTGCTGTGCCTGCCCACCGCTGTGCCCTGCCTGGTGCCCCTGCCAACTTCAGCCACCAGGAGACATGGCTGGAGTCCCACCTTCCCCGGGAGCCAGATGGCACGCTCAGCTCCTGCCTCCGCTTCACCTACCCCCAGGCCCTCCCCAACTCTACGTTCAGGGGAGAAGGGCAGAGTCCTGGGGAGCTGCAGGGTGAGCCCTCCACTATGCCATGCCCTCAGGGCTGGGAGTACGACCACTCAGAGTTCTCCTCCACCATTGCAACTGAGGTACCTGAGCCAGGAGGCTGGGGGACACGTGAGTGGGATGGGTCTGCCATTGCCTTGGGTGGTTGCTATGTGGGCACTGGACACATTCTTTCTTTCTCAGAGTCTCAGTTTACCCATTTGTAGATGAGATCTATGAATTTAAAGTGCAGAGCTTGTAGTAAGGAGCCCATACATGGGAGCTGCTATTATTAATCAGGAGGTGATTAAGGCAGGGAAGGGCTAAGGTGGCTCCATGGAGTTGGGGCTGAGGATTGAGAAGGGTGTTTCGGCACTAAGAGGTGGAGAAACAATAGAGGCCTCCTCTTTCTTCCTCATTTGGGCCCCAGGTCTAGGACTTACATAATCCATCTGGAGGTGTGTGCAGGTGGGGGCAGAATCTCTCTGGAGAGGTACAGGGCTCCTGTTGTCATGGTCAAGGCCCTCCATGGGAAGAAGCTGAAGCTGCAGGACTGGGGAGGGGCAAAGTCTCCCACTCTCAAGTTGAACAGTTGGGGGTTTATTATCTGACATGGAGGTACCAGGATGGCACAGTTGACCTCAGAAGGCCCCGGGGTCTGGAGAGAGGCCTGTGCCCATGGGAGGCCCCTCCTTGCCTGTCCCTACAGTGGGACCTGGTGTGTGAGCAGAAAGGCCTGAACAGAGCCACTTCTACCTTCTTCTTCGTTGGTGTCCTGGTGGGGGCTGTGGCCTTCGGATACCTGTCTGACAGGTAGGGTGAGGTGGGGGGCCAATAAGGGAGTGGGGTGGAGAACCTTCTCCCACTAGCTGGGGTCTGGGCCTAGTCTACCTCTATCTTGGGACCTCCCCTCCACAGGGAGCTAACCCTACATGATCCCTGTGCAGGTTTGGGCGGCGCCGTCTGCTGCTGGTGGCCTATGTGAGTGCCCTGGTGATGGGCCTGACATCTGCAGCCTCAGTCAGCTACGTCATGTTTGTCATCACCCGCACCCTCACTGGCGCAGCCCTGGCTGGCTTCACCATCATTGTGCTGCCACTGGGTGAGGCAGGCAAAGAATGCGTAGGGCCTAGAGGGCTGGAGGGATACAGTGGTCAAGAGTGAGACTGATGTCCCTTGCTAACTGTCTTCCTGTCTCTGGCTGTGGACCTAGAGTTGGAGTGGCTGGACGTGAGACACCGCATCGTGGCAGGTGTCCTGAGCAGCATGTTCTGGTCAGGGGGCGTGATGCTGCTGGCACTGTTTGGGTACCTGATACGGGACTGGCGATGGCTTCTGCTGGCTGTCACCCTGCCTTGTGTCCCAGGCATCCTCAGCCTCTGGTGAGGCCTATGGGCAGCTGGGGAGTGAGAGATACAAGAAGCCAGAAACAGAATTATTTAGAGGCTGAGAATTGAAGACAGAGAGACTGAGAAAAAGAAAATGAGAGACAATCCATGACATGAGAGTGACAGAACCAAGTACTAACTTAGGTTGGTGCCCTGGAGGGGTGGGGATAAGGACAGGGACAGGATGGAGGTAGGAAGTCCAGGTAGGAGGGAAGGTCAAGTAGGGTGGGCATTTCATTGCCTGCCCCAAATGAACTGGCTTTGGATGACACCTCTGGGTATGTATGTCTGTATGTCTGTCTCGCTTTCATCATATGCCCTCCTGTCACCTGTAGGAGAAGTGGGTGGCTGGTCCTGGGGGCTGAGGTCTTGGGGGAGAGACCAATTCAGTTGAGCAGAGAAGTGACTCCTGGGCTATGGAGAACCTAGGCCTGGGCAAAGAAGTGTGGGAAAAGGTGGCTTTTAAATTGGGCCTTAAAGAATGACTGAAAGTTCACCAGGTAAGGATGGTTGGGAAGATGTTCCAGGCTGAGGGGCCAGCCTGTGGTGTGTCCAGGAGGGAGACATGGCTTAGGGTGCTGACTGACTGAAGGGCCTCCTGCTGTCCCCCAGGTGGGTGCCTGAGTCTGCACGCTGGCTTCTGACTCAGGGCCGTGTGGAGGAGGCCCACAGGTACCTGCTCTGCTGTGCCAGGCTCAATGGGCGGCCTGTGGGTGAGGACAGCCTGAGCCTGGAGGTGAGGGTGAATGTGTGTGAGTGCATGCAAGCACATGTATGTGCGTAGCCTGTGTCAAGCACTCCCGTCCTGGGGCCCACTGTGTGTTCAGGAAAAGCTCCTTTCTCTAACGTAGAGGTCTCCCAGAATGTCCTCTGCTGGGCCATACCCTTGACTCCACTTACTCTCCTCAGCTCCCATGTGCATCCCTTCCCTCCAATGCAGAAGGGAGGAATAGAGACCCAGAGAGAGCAATGTGCCTTGCTAAGGCCACACAGTCAACTCCATGTCACAAACTTTCCTCCCCCACCAGGCCCTGAGCAAAGTGGCAGCTGCAGAGAGGGTGGTCCGAAGACCTTCATATCTAGACCTGCTGCGGACACCACGGCTCCGACATATCTCACTGTGCTGCATGGTGGTGTGGTGAGGAGAGGGCAGGCCTGGTGGGGTAGGGGTAGGTGGAGGGATGCTGCTGAGTGTGACAGGAAACTGGACAAGTGTAACTGTGGAGGGCCAGTGGGGGTGGTGGGTAAAGGGATGGGGGGATAGGGCTGTGGAAGGTCAGAAGATGGCATAGGCATCAGTCACGTGGGTTCAAATTCAGGTTCTGCCACTTCTTTATTGTGAGACCTTGGACAGGTGTTCCTTCTGTAAAATGGGATGCTGTTAGTTCCTACCTCACAGAGTGGCTGTGAAGATTAGGCAAAGGTGCTTTGGCCACAAGGGAGAAGTGGTCTCTAAAAGACCAAGGTTCCCTGAGAGGATAAGGTGGGTTGGGAAGGAGGCCCCTGAGTGGCATTGTGACCCTTCCCAGGTTTGGAGTGAACTTCTCTTATTATGGCCTGAGCCTGGATGTGTCAGGGCTGGGGCTGAACGTGTACCAGACGCAGCTGCTGTTTGGGGCCGTGGAGCTGCCCTCCAAGCTGCTGGTCTACCTGTCGGTGCGCCATGCCGGACGCCGCCTCACACAGGCAGGAACGCTGCTGGGCACTGCCCTCACCTTGGGCTTCAGGCTGCTGGTGTCCACCGGTGAGCCTTGCTCTGGGGCCCTGCCTCCTGGCCAAGAACCCCCACCCTTTCCTGGGCTCTAGGCCAATTAAGTCCTGCCCTCTCTGGAAACTCCACCTCCTATCCTGAACCCCTTTTCCTCCAGAGATGGCGTCCTGGAGCACTGCCCTGGCGGTGATGGGCAAAGGTTTTTCTGAAGCTGCCTTTACTACTGCCTACCTGTTCACCTCAGAGTTGTACCCTACTGTGCTCAGGTGAGGGGAGCCTGAGCCCCAGCCAATCTGAAGAGGGGGTTGTTAGTCTCATCTCTTACCAACACCCCCACTTACACATAACACACTGCACCCCAGTCCCTTTCACCCATTCTTTGCACCACACTCTGTTGGCCTCAATCGGGCAGAAGGTGGGGCATTTTATCTTCTTCACTAAGTGACCCTGAGAGAGGTCAGACAAATTCTCTGGGCCTCCCTTAAAAGAAAACAGTGGCAAAAAACCCTATCTGCCCATCCCATCCCATCTCCCCACAGCCCAGGCCGAGCTGCCCTTGAAAATTGTCTCTGGACATAAGGCCTGGGCCCTTTCATCTAGCTATTGGCAGGTGAAGAAGAGACTTGTAGGCAGCTGGGTATGGTGAGAAAGCCTTGTACCTCTTCTAACAACATGGCAGAGTCTATATGAGCTGCTGACCCTCTTTCTTCCATACTACTCTTTCCCCATTCCATTTCCAGTGATTTTTTTTTCCTTCAGTGACATCTGACTGGCACTCTGTCAGAATGGGGGCCCCATCCTCTGGTGGGTGTTGGCTTGGAGGGCCCTGGCCAGGGGGTGGGTGGGAAGACCACCTGAAAGAAGCCTCAGCTTTCTTAGCTATCTAGGGAGGAAAGGGAAGGAGTACCCCCTGCCAACCTGGGGGGGTGCCCCATGAGGCATGACCCCAAGTACCTGAGAGCACCAACCCTCTTCCCCATCCTTTCTCTGAACAGACAGACAGGGATGGGGCTGACTGCGCTGGTGGGTCGGCTGGGGGGCTCTTTGGCCCCATTGGCGGCCTTGCTGGATGGAGTATGGCTGTCACTGCCCAAGCTCACTTATGGGGGGATTGCCCTCCTGGCTGCCTGCACTGCCCTCCTGCTGCCAGAGACAAGGCAAGCACAGCTGCCAGAGACCATCCAGGACGTGGAAAGGAAGAGGTGTGTGCACTTGCATGTGGGTATGGGTGCTCAGGTATCTGACACCTCAGGTAGGACTCAGAGGAACACGTCTGTATCTAGTGCATGTATGCTAGTATGCATGGGTGCATGGCCTGAAGTATGTAAACTGCGTGTATAAAAGCATACATGAATCCATATCCATATCCATATGTGTGTACATAAATACCCAAGACTGTCCAAGAAGAGTTGGGTATGTGCACACTCAGGTATGCCTGCACATCAGGGATGTGTACAAGCATGTGTAGGAGTCCCTTGTGGGAGTACACGTTTATATATCAGGAGTTAGGGAAGCCCTAGGCCAGCACTGATGGGGCAGGCTGTGGTGGTAGGCCTCAGGGGCTAAACCCTACCACTGCTCCTGACTCCTTCCTCCCCAGTGCCCCATCCAGCCTTCAGGAGGAAGAGATGCCCATGAAGCAAGCCCACGACTGAGTGGTTTCAAGAGCAGGCCCCCCACAGAAGTCCTGCATCAGGGTCTGGGAGAGCAGAAGGGCAGGCCCTGTGACCGGGACTGGGGGCATTGAGCCCCGTGCTCAGGGCTGGATTTGCCACCAATGACCTTCTCTGTGCTCATCCAACTTCTAGCAGAAGTGTGTCTTCCTAGAATGCAGTGGACTGCTGGAGAACTCTGGTACTGCTCTCTTGGCTGGGGAGATTCTGTAAACAAACGCTCCCCTTGGGTTGGGGCAGCAGTACGGAGCTGTGGGGTGAGCCCTGAATGGGAAGTCACTGAGTCTGGTGCTGGCTTCTGATCTCAGCTTTGCCACCGATTTGCTGTGTGACCTTGGCAATGTGACTTTCCCTTTTTGGGCCTCAGTCTGTTCGTCTCTCAAATGAATAATGAAGCCTTTTTACATACCTCACCATAGGATCTATCTGTTGTCATGTTCAGTGAGGTGCTGAATAAGGTGCTTCTTCTAGAGATGGTGCTAAAGAAGGGACTGTCCTATGATGACTTCTGTGGGCACGCTGTTCACTGTGTGGTGCTGGGGGCTGCCCAATGCCAGGGTCAGGGGACCAGGAGAACAGAGCTCTTTGTTTCATGGCTGGCCTTGCTAACTCCCTGGCACTTTGCAGGGTAATGCACCCTCCACGCCCACACTCCCCACCCTCTAACCCACTATCTAGGCTTCATGCCCAAAGAAGAGTTGAAGGCATGGGAGCTAACATTTTATTGGAGAAGCAAGAATAAACACAAGTTTTATGAGTACCATGAAGTTATAGAATTTGCTGGGGAAAGGAACTGGGAAGGCCAAGAGGCCACCATTCAAAATGAGGTTGATCAGTTCCTCTGAGCAGATAGGAATGGGAAAGGGAGGAGTTGGCAGAGAAAGTCTAGACTTTCTGGTCTACTATGGAGCTGAGGCCCAGGCTGCCAGAATCCCACCTTCCCCTACCTCCATGGGACTGAAGAATTCTGTAGCTCTCATTGGATGACGGAGGGGATGGTGGGAGGCCTGAGTGAGGGTGACTTCTTCTGTAAGCATCTCACTTGGATTTTATCTCCACGGGGTCATAGATGTAGCAGCCCACATCACCAATGTTCACACCTGAGGGAGAGAGCCCAATCACCCAGGGCCTTGGGACCAGGGGGTACTGGGCTGAGGGCTAGAAGGAACTGGGAAGAACCTGGGGTATATCTGACTACAGGGGAAGTTGTCCACACATCCCCACAGACCCACATGCCATACTTTAGGCCCAGTGTCTAGGGTGGGGCTGCCCACCTTTGGGGCCAAACAGGTAGCCGTAGCAGGGGATGTGGCAGTAGGGGTCACCGTCATGCTGGGACACAGAGAAAGAGAGCACTCTCAGCTTGACTCTTTTCCTATCTCCAGCCTCTCTCCTCCCAGCATAACCACCCATCCCTTCCCTGCTCACCTCAGCATGACTCCCAGGAGTCAGGGTCTTCCGGCAGCGCTGGCACCTCAGACAGGGTCGGTGCCAATTTCTGCCCAAAGACATCACCTTCTCAGCTGGTGGTGGAAAGAAGTAGTAGCCCTAGGGGCAGGGCAGGGAGACCCACCTGCCTTGCACCACCTCCCTGTCCTTTGATGCCCACCTTGCACTCCCCTCCTTACGCTTTCTCTTGTCACTTACCAAAATAGACAGGTTCCTCACAGCCGGGGCACAGTGAGGTCTCCCCAGTGAATGTCTTCGTGTGGGAAGGGCCTTTAAGGGGAAGAGGCCCTGGCTAGGGCTGAGGTGGGGGCCAGGCCTAAGTAGGGCCCTCCAGCACCAGCCTGCATATGGTATTGCCCTCTTCCAAAAGCCATGTTCATCCCAGAGCCCCCCACCCAGGTGGCCATAAGTATGCCTTCCTCAGACAGAGCTGCGTCCCCTCTGACCCTACCTCCTGTCCCATCCCTATCTGCAGGAGGGACCACCTGCTTCCTTCTCATCCTCCCAGGGGTTCAGGTGCCCACCAGCCCAACCCTGTCCTGTCAGCAACTCAATCCTTAGGAAACCTGAGCTGATATAGGAGCTGCCCAGGGCAGGGGTGTCAGGTGTTTGGGGAGCACGGTGTCACTGCCCACTGCAGGGGACAGGAGAAAGAAACAGGGAGAGGGGAGAAGGGGAAGAATGTGAGGGATTGGCTCCATCTCAGTGACTCCTCATTTCATAAGTCATTCCTTCCTTGGCCTTGGCCTGGGAGAGGCCTGAGTTATAGGCTAGCTTTGCCTCTGACTAGCTGTGACTACACAAGGTCACTTGCCCTCTCTGACTTCAGTTTCCTCACCTGTAAAATGGGGCTGGTAATGCCATCTACCCACTTAACCTCTGAACTCAGCAGCTGACATGAGGAAACATCAAAAAAGGGAATCTTGAATAATGGAAGATTTTGCGAGGCAGAGGATTTGTGAGAGACTGCCACCTGGTCCCACCCCTGGTTCCAGACTGGGAAAGGTCGGGAGGAGGGGTAGCTGGGGCTCAGGCTCACTTACTTTTCTTGCGCTGGGGGAGGCCAGTCCTGGGCCTTGGGGGACTGAAGCTGCTGGGGTTGAGGGGAGTGGTGTTGGCACGGGTGGGAATGGGGGAGTTGTAGAGGTAGGAGCCCACACCACCAATGTTCACCCCTGCAGAGAGAAGAGGGGAAGTCTGCCTTGAGTATCCAGCTCTCTGCCATAGGGAGAGTTTCTGCTGCCCTGACTCCTTCAAGGCTGGTACTTACCCCTGGGTCCGAAGAGAGTCCCATAGCATGGCTTGTGGCAATACGGCCTCCCATTGTGCTAGGCACAAGCAGAGGAAAAGGGGTTGCTCAGGGACAAGGGGGCATTTCCTGTGCCCCACAGACCTTCCCCCCAAACAGGCTGTCAGGTGTGTCTGCCAGCTGGAGAGATCAGGGGTGGGCTGGCATGCCAGAATTGCTACTGCGGTCAGAGAAAAAGGGCAAAAGCAGGCCAGGAAGCAGTGTCGCTGCCTTCTCCTCCCCCTCAAATGGCATGGGGCTCACCAGCACAACTCGGTCCCCAAATCGTGGCTGGTATGGGACCCACCCTTTAACTGGACTTGGGAGTTGGCACTGAGATTGCCTCTGGCGAGCCTCCAGGGCGGCAATGGGGCTGGTGTCTGGGGGACAGTGACAGACGTGGGGCTGTGTGCCCCAGCCAGGTCTCACCTCTGCATGCCCTCCTGGGGACAGGACACTGTGGCAGTGCTCACATTTCAGGCAGAAGGGGTGCCAGTTCTTGCCCAGGGAGCTCACCTTTTCCGCTGTAGGAAACAAGGTGGAACAAGGCTGCCGGGCGCCCTCCTTTCCCTCCTCAACCCCGTCCCGCTTCCTGGAGACGGTGGGGAGTATCTCCAGCAGGCTAGCTCCATCCCACCAGAGCGCCAAACCCCACAGGTAGAAAGGGGGTCTGGGATTACACCCGTGCCAGCTCCTCATGTCCTCAGGGAACCCAGCGGCTCACACTTGCCCAGTCTTCTCCCGCTCCTCAGCCCATGCCTCACCGAAGAAAACAGGTTGCTGGCAACGTGGGCAGGTCCAACTCATGGCTCCTCTCTGGGAAGCTGGTGCCGCACACAGTAGGAACCCCGCAGAGACTGTGTTCCCGCCCCCTCAGCTAGCTCCACCCATGGCTCAGCTTGGAGCCTCATTGGGCTGAATACACTGTTTACTGAAGTCCATTAGACACCAGAAATTTAGCACTACTCCACCTGGGGGACGTAGGCAACTTCGCAATTAGTTCCAAACACTAAAGCCTCTGTTGGGAGAGGTGAGAAGATCCTGAATCCAGACTGGGAGAGGAGGGAGCAGTGAAGACACCTGGAAGGGCGGCACTAGTTTCTGGATTGGTACCGAGAGAGAAAATGCCCAGAGTGTAGACACCATGAAAACACTATTATTTCAAACCCAAAGCAAGGGGTTAGGCATTATTTGAAATGGTTTAATTACACTTTGACAGTCTTGCAGGTGCTTAGGAGCAACGGACGCTGGAGCGCATCTCTGCTATTTACTTTTTGGCTTCAGGCAAATTACTTAACCTTCCTCTGCTTCAGTTCTGTATAATGCTATGATGATGTCTCTACCTCATACGACTGTTGTGATAATTAGATAAGTTAACACATGCAAAGTGCCCCAAAAGTCCTGGCATATAATGAACTCAAGACTCTTAGTGTGGAAGCTTCAAAGCGTGGTCTGCAAACAATGGTTTGCCTGTAAAATTATAATGCTTATTAAATTTAAATGTATAATTTAGACACCAATTACATATTCCTAATTTAGTTTGTTTTAAAATGTTTTAACATTTATTAAAAGTAGCTCAGCAATGCTTCAAAGGACACTTCAAAAATTGAAATTCACAGAATGGGAGAAAAATATTTGCAAACATGTATCTGATATGGGTCTAGTAACCTGAATAGATAAAGGACTGTTACAACTCAATAATAAAAACACAACCCAATTAAAAAATGAGCAAAGAATGTGAATAGACATTTTTTTCCAAAGAAGATATAGAAATGGCCAACAAACAGATGAAAAGATGCTCAACATCATTAGTCATTAGGGAAGTGAAAATCAGAACCACAATGAGATACCATTTTACACCTATTAGAATGGCTATAATAAAAAAGTGAATAATAACAAGTGTTAGTGAGGATGTGGCAAAACTGGATTCCTTGTACATTGTTGATGGGAATGTTATTTTACATTTTGTACAACCTTTTGAAAAGAGTAACAATTCTTCAAAAGGTTAAATGCACAGTTACTACATGACCCAGCAATTGCACTCCTAGGTATATACTCAAAAGAAAGCATTTGTCCACATAAGAACTTATACATGAATGTTCACAGTACTTCTATTCACAATAGCTAAAAGGTGGAAACAGCCCAACTAATAAACAAAATGTAGTATAACCATAATAGAATATTATTCAGCTATAAAAAGGAATGAAGCATTGATGGCATGCCATAACATGAACCATAAAAACATTGTTTAGCCAAAGAAGCCATATACATACCACATATTTTATGATTCCATTGATATGAAATGTCTAGAATAGGAAAATCCATAGAGACAGAGATTAGTGGTTGCTCAGGGTTTGGAGGAGGGGCAACTGGGAGTATTTAATGGGTATGAAGTCTCTTTGTGGGGAGATGAAAATGACCTGGAATTAGATAGTGGTGATAGTTGCACAACCTCATGAATATACTAAAAATCAATGAACTGTACACCTCAAAAGGGTGAACTTTATGGTATGTGAATGTCTCAATGTCTTAGTATAATATAATATCTCAATAATGGTGATGATGATAACAATAATAATGCCTGCAGTGAGCTACTTAAAAAAAAAAATTTGTAGGGAGAGGAGAGGGAGCGGATTACTTTGTGCCCCAGCAGAGCAGAAAACCCCTGGAGGAAATATCATGGTGAAATGAAGATTTTTCGGGAGTAAGTTCCTGGGTTTTTGTTTGTTTATTTGAAATATGTTTTTATTGATTTTAGAGAGAGAAGAAGGGAGAAGGAGAGAGAGATAAACATCAATGTGATTGCCTAATAAGCACCCCAACCTAGGAATCAAACCCGCAACCTGGGTATGTGCTTTGATCAGGGATCAAACCGGGGACTTTTGGGTGCACAGGACAATGCTCAACCAACTGAGCCACACTGGCCAAGGCTAAGTTCCTCTGTTTTGTGAAGTTAGTTCAGAAGGGCTGAAGGGTGTGTGTGTGTGATAAACTCATCATTGGGCTACAGTGCTGTGCCCTGATGGATGAAAGGAGTCTTATTTGTGTCTGAAATCCAACACCCTCTCTGAACTTCAGTCTTCTCAACTGGGCCACAGGGATGGGACTGGTGTCTACGAACTGCCACTTAACATTCCTGTTTCCCTCACTTGTTTTCATCAGTCCGTTTTGCTCATAACTACACTTGTTTTACCCTCCTCAATAATTTATAAACATGGAAGGCTTGCACCTGTGAGAGAAACTTTTCTATACTTTCTTATTATTTGTTTCTTGTTTTGGGGAATATTTCAAGGTCCTTAGATTTATAACTGTTTCTTTGAGGGCTTCTTTAACAAACTTGAAAAATATTCCAGTTTTGGTCTTCACTGGTATTTTACTCTCTTGTTTCTGCCTCTCTCATTTGTTTCTTTTTGAAGAAGGCAGCTCAAGGTTCACTGCCTTTGCTCTCTATGGCACTAATGGAGAAGGTCCCACTTCAGGGGGTTGGGAGGACGTGTATTTATTCTTAAATATGCTGCCTCCTTTAGGAAGGACTAGCTTCATCTGCCCAAGGATTCATCCTCAGCATTTCCAGGGCACATCATATAATCCTTTTCTAAGACTCTAGCTCTTTCTGCTTTGGATCACATTGTATGTGTGCCTCAGCCTTCTAGACAGGTTGTCTTTACCCTAGCATACAGCACAGGGCCCTGCTAGAAGAAACAGGCTTCAAAGTGTGAGTACCATGCTGCTTTTACACAACTTAAAATGTCAGTGGGGCAAGTGCTTTACTGCTCCCCATCTTGACAAACATAGTATGCCTCCATCTCTTCTATTTCACTGCTTAGGGAAGACTAGTTGAGGTTCTTCTTTTCCAAATATTTGCCATCTATTTGCAGATATAGCAAATCACAGTATTCCACTCTTCTTCCTTCTCTGATGTCCATTACTCTGACTCTAAAAGAGGCTTTGTGGACTGGCCAGGGAAGGGGGCATTGCCAGGTGGGCACTGAGGAGAGGCAGTGGGGGAGGAAAAAAATAATAAAAGAGGCTTTGTAAAGAATGCTTATGGGGCGCTCTCCCTCCCTGCGCCCACGCCTTTCTTCCCTCTTAGGCATGCATCTCCTAAACAATAAGGGTCCCCATGAGACTTGCAACCAGGGGAGCAATGGGCAGTGACAGCTTATCCTAGGCTAACCTCCTGAACCTGTCTTCCAGGCCCCTTTTCTCTGACCTTCCAGTGAGCAGCCCCACCTAGGCTCTCTCCTATTGCTTCTTCTATCCGAAGCCCTTCCTTGTTTCAATGTCCCCAGCTTTAATAAACACACTTTCAAAAAAAAAAAAAAAGGATGCTAGTAGGGAAAATAAACATTTCTAGTAGGAATGTATTTGCAGTTACTGACAGTGGCTGTTTTGAATACTTTGTGACTAAAACCTCTAAAATGATATTATAACAAAACCCACGAATGGATTAGTCCAGTTGAGTGTAGGTACAGTGGTTCCCCTTATCTGCAGGGCATACATTCCAAGACCCCCAGTGCATACCTGAAACCACGGATAGTATAGAACCCTGTACATACTGTGTTTTTTCCTGTACTACCTATGATAAAGTATAATTTATAAATTAGACACAGTAAGGTATTAACAATAACTAATAATAGAACAATTCTAATAGAAGCAAAGTAACGATTACTTGAATGCAAGCATTGTGATACAGCAGCAGTCAATCTGATAACCAAGATGGCTACAAAATGACTAATAGACAGGTTTCATATGCAGCATGGATATACTGGATAAAGGGATGACTCACATGCTAGGTGGGATGAAGCAGGACTACGTGAGATTTCATTACGCTACTCAGAAGAGTTCACAATTTAAAACTTAAGAATTATTTCTGGAATTTTCCATTTAGTATTTCAGACTGCCACAGTTGACTGCAGGTAACTGAAACTGCAGAATGTGAAACTGCAGATAAGGGGGGGCTACTGTATATTACCTACTAAACTGTCAGGGTGCAGTTTGTGTAATCCTTTATAAGGAGGCAGGCTCCTCTTTCATATAGATGACTGTTTCTTTGGTGTCCTCCACCCCGCTTTTCCTCCACAGACCTCTGTCACAGTATCTGTAAATGCTGTATTATATTTATTTACTTGTCTGACTTTCTTCAATTGACAGGACTGACTGACTAATCTGTGTATATATAGCCTAAGTATAGTGTGGGTGCTTAGTAAATGATCCTTTTGTTATTATTATTAAAATCTACCACTAACTTTTTACTTCATGTTTTTAGGTAGATGTATGTTTTTAGGATTGTTGTGTTTTCTTGATGAACTGATCCCTTTATTGTTGTTAGGCAAGAAAAAAGCTTTTCAACTCTCGGTGAGTAGTGGATATAATTACTTCAAACACCTGGAGGGATATCATATGGAAGAGGCATTAGGGACACTACCAAGACCCCTGGCTAGAGGGGTGTCAGTAGAAAAATACAGGAAAGCACATTTGGATTCAGTCTAAAAAAAGAACTTTCTAATAGAGCCCAAACATTGAGTGGCTGCTTCAGATGGCAGTGAGCTTCCTGTCTCTTGATGTTTTAAGTAATGCTGGATAACAAACGAACTGATTGTCAGTGTTGCAGAAGGGATGCAAGACAGATGAACCTTTAAGGTTTTGTCACAATTTGAGGACGTACGGTTTTGTAATTCCATTCCCAAAGAGGAGTTTGAAATTTGTATTAGCATGAAAGCATTGCTAAAATAGTGACAGCTACCACCTATGGAGTGCCAGTCATATGTACTGTACTTATTTCTGCCCCTACAACCACCTGATGAGGCAATTAAATGTTACATTACCAATTGTACGGTAAAGGAAGTAGCTTGGA